GTTGCCACCTAATATAATGTAATGTAAAATACCTAACATAACGTAACATATAACATAACGTAATGTACCTAACAATAAGTAATGTAACATGCCTAACGTAACGTACCTAATGTAATGTAACAAACAAAGTACCTAATGTAACGTAATGAAACTTACCTAACATAACATACGTAAGGTAACATAACATACATATAAGGTAACGTAACATATTTAATCAACCTCATCCCCACTTTCCACCGTCACCAATCCACTTTCTCCTTAGTGATTCATGTCCCTCTTCTCTCTCTCATTATTGCCATCTCATATTCTTGTTATTGAATCTTCCTATACTATCATTCCGTTTATCTCGCGTCATTATTCACTTACCACAGGGTAGATAAAAGTACAGTTTAGTTACACACACACACACACACACACGAGCACGCGCAGACAAAACACACAGTCTCTCACCTGAGCTTTTCCTCCTGGCCATGCCTTGGTCTCCCCCAGCCTCGTGACCCGACACCTGGTGACCCTTAACACCTACCCCCTTTTCTGACCTTTCCCTTCGTTCAGTTGCCCGCTAGTGTTTTGTTGGACCAAATTACAAACACACGCACCCACCTCAGTACCACACCCACACACCCACTACACCCCCGCACCCCCTCAGTATCCACACCCACACTCCCAGCACCCTCTCAGTACCACATCCAGCACTCCCAGCACTCCCAGCACCTTCAGACCACACCCAGCACTCCCAGCACTCCCAGCACCCCCTCAGTACCACACCAGCACCCCCTCAGTACCACACCCAGCACCCCCTCAGTCCACACCCACACCTCCAGCACCCCTCATACACACCCACCTCCAGCACCCCACAGTATCACACCCACACCTAGCACCCTCAGTACTACACCCACACCTCACCCCCTCAGTAGTACCTCCCCCCCATTCACCCTGCACTCCCAGCACCCCCTCAGTACTACACCCACACCTCCCTGCACCCCTCAGTATCACACCCACACCTCCCAGCACCCCTCAGCACCACACCCAGCACTCAGCACCCCGTCAGTACTACCCACACCTCGCAGCACTCCCTCAGTATCACACCCACACCTCGCAGCACCCTCTCAGTACCACACCGCCTCCCAGCACCCCTCAGTACCACATCCAGCACTCCAGCACTCCCAGCACCCCTCAGTATCACACCTCGCAGCACCCTCAGTACCACCCCACTCCAGCACCCCCTCACTACCACACCCACCCCCTCCACCCAACCACACCCCACCTCCCAGCACCCCCTCAGTACTACACCCACACTCCCAGCACCCCCTCAGTACCACACCCAGCACTCCCAGCACCCCTCAGTACCACACCCAGCTCTTCCAGCACCCCCTCAATATCACACCCACACCTCGCAGTACCCCTCGTATCACCCACACCTCCCAGCACCCCTCACTACACACACACCTCCACCCCCTCAGTACCACACCCAGCACTCCCAGCACCCCCTCAGTACCACCCAGCACTCCAGCACCCCTCAGTACCACCCAGCACTCCCAGCACCCCCTTAGTACCACTCCCAGCACCCCACACCTCAGACACACCCACACCTCCCAGCACCCCCTCAGTACACCACCCAGCACTCCCAGCACCCCTCCGGAACCACACCCAGCACTCCCATCACCCCTCAGTACCAGACCAGCCTCCCAGCACCCCCTTAGTACCACCCAGCACTCCAGCACCCCTCGGTACCACACCCAGCACTCCCAGCACCCCTAAGTACACACCCACACCTCGCAGCACTCCCTCAGTACTACACCCACACCTCACCCAGCACCCTCACTTC